ATTCAATTGACTGCAAATATTTGATTCCAATTAAACTCCCTCCGACAACTGCTGCCGATCCCAAGCCCGAATAAAGGAGGAGGGTTGTGCATGGGTTAGCGACACCGTCCCGTAGAAGACTAACTCACACACAAAACATTCAAAATGGATCTTACAGAGCTGCAGTGTATCCAACATCAGCTTTCACTGCCTTATGAATGCCTAGTAAGACGAGTGGAAGAGCGTCGGCCCACTGTGAATCGTATACAGCCGATAGTGAAGCATTTAATTGTCGGTGAAAGAGTTCTACCGACCCGTTTGCTTGTGGGTGATAGGCGGTCGTTCGGGATCGTGTGACTTATATTAGTGTAGTCAAACAATGAATAAGTCCACATTCGAACTGACGCCTACGGTCTGTAATGATAGTTGAGGGGAAGCCGAAGTTTGCTACCCATCGTTCGACCAAAGCGCAGGCCACTGATTCAGCGGTGATGTCCTTGATAGGTACTGCCTCTGGCCATCTAGTGAAACGATCTACTCAGGTTAAAAGATAAGAGTATCCATTTGAATCTGGTAAAGGTCCTACCAAATCCAGATGAAAATGTTCGAAACGAGCATGAGGAGTTTTGAAAGAGCCTAAGGGACTTTTGTTGTGTCTAATAACCTTGGATTTTTGGCAGCTTACACAGGAGCGTGCCCACTCACTCACGTCTTTATTCATACCAGGCCAGCAAAACCGTTCTGCTCTGAGTTTGATGGTTGCACGAACACTTGGATGAAAAAATTTGTGCAACGTATTGACGACATTGCGTCGATAATGTTTCGGCACGACTGGGCGATCCCTACCTGTAGATGTGTCACAAAGTAAGGTTATCTTACCTGTTCCCATCTGTTTGATGAATAGCTTGAGTGTTGTAAACGATAACTCGTGCTGAAGATCAGTGTCTTCTTTTTGGATCTGGGCGAGTTTCAGAAGGTCCATTCCTTGAAAACTGTTCAAGGAATTTATGCGAGACACGGCGTCTGCGACTACATTGTTCACTCCAGAAATGTGTTGAATATCTGAAGTAAACTGCGAAGTGTAGTCCAGTTGTCGAGACTCACGTGGTGAGCACTTGTCTGAAGAAGAGCTAAGAGAGAATGTAAGAGGCTTATGGTCAGTAAAAAGAGTGAATTCACGGCCTTCGATGTAGTGATGAAAACGCCGTACAGCACAATACATAGCTAGGAGTTGGCTACCGAATGTGCTGTACCTCCATTCAGTGTCTAGCAACCGTCTAGAGAAAAATGCCAAAGGTTGCCAGGAGTTGTTAACCCATTATTGTAAGACTCCTCCTATTGCTGGGTCGGATGCATCTACTGCGATGCTAATCGGTGCTTGGGTATCCTGATGTGCAAGCATTGTTGCTTTTGAGATAAGTTCCTTAATTGTGGAGAATGCTTTACGCGCGGTATCGTCCAAATTGATGGGTTTCGCAGTTCCACGAAGTTAGTCAATTAGAGGTTTCATAAGGGACGTGCAGTTTGTCATGAACCGTCTATAGAAACTTACCATGCCGCTAAACATGCGTAATTGCTTGATGGTGGTCGATTCTGGGTATTCCAGTATGGCGGCTACTTTGCTTCTCAGAGGTCGGATGACTTGAGCATCAATGGTGTGTCCGAGGAAATCTGGGAATTGAGTTTTGATTCGACATTTCTGGATGTCCACAGTAATGCCATGCTTTCGTGGTCGTTTCAAAACAAAGACCAGATGCTGGAGACGAGATTCTCTGTGCGGCCTTGCAAACGAGCAGTCATTAACATACGCTTATATGGCGTTGAAAACTCAAAAATCGTCATCGATGAGACTTTGGGACTTCTGTGCAGCATTTTTTAAGCCAAAGGGTGTGCGCGAAAATTCGTCGAGACCGATAGGAGTTGTGATAACGGTTTCAGGGATGTCGTTATCGGTCATAGGAATTAGGTTATGGGCTTTCACCAGACTGGTTTTCGAAAAGGCAGTTGTACCTTTGAAGGTAGCTGTCTAATCATGAGTGTGGAGCGACGGGTTGCGATCGAGAATGGTTTATGCATTCAGTCGCCGATGGTCAACAGTTGCACGTCAATCACTGTAGTCCTTTTTGGAGACGAGATGCCCATAGGCTTGTAGTAAAATTGGGCTCTGTGTACACAATCATCAAAGCTGAAAAGGAGAAAATTGGAGAAATAGATGTTCAGCATTTGACTCAGAGAAAAACTGAACCATGAAGAAGACGGGAAGAAGAAATTGAATTAATTCGGATTGATCGGATGGTATGGCTATCCTTGAATGTTGTTATATACCTTTTATTCATACTAAATATATTGTTCTATCTCTAGCCTGAGTTTGTTCTCCATCATAAATTGGTGATTGTTATGATGTGATGAGTTGGTGTGGACGATGATGTGACTTCCACGTAAGATCTTACAGATTAGGCAGTTATATCATGACAAATCTACAATTTTAGGATTTTGTCTACTATTAGAGCAGTACTAATATCATAGCAGACCGTGATTCGACAGGCTGTTTGACAGTCGAATGGTTAATAAATCTATCATGTGGCTGAATTCGTCTTTAAATAACCTCAGCTTTTCGGGGGGCCGTCGGTAGGCTTTTGGGAATACAGGTGGTTCTGTAGTCGTGATGTTATGTGTGACACTGTTGGTTACGTTGGTACTTATCGAGTAACTAATGATGGAATGAATCTATCGTGTACTTAACTGTGACTGGAGATAATCTGCAACCGGTGAAAGAATTAACGCAAACAGATAAATTAGTGTTTCGATTAGAAGATTGTGGTCTTGTAGGAGGTCTATACAAATGATCGACATAGAAACATCTGCAACAACAAAAATTCAGTGAGTGGGTTAGCCTAAACCCACATTAAGCTAAACTCACCCATTAACATATGTGGTGATTGGATTTCCTTTGCCACCAGTAAGTTTAGAACTGATTCGTGAAGCCGATAGTTAGAAATTTCTGGAAGGGCGCTAACTTCTGCGCCAGTATCAATGAGGTAGCAGACTTTCGTTATCACATATGTGACGTATGACAGACGGCTATTTTAGCCGGCTGGGAGGTTTCCTGAAATGTTTTTCCTGTCGGTCGGTTTTTAGACCAGAAAATTGTAGGGTTTTCTGCAATCCATAGAAGACTTTCCGCACTGGTTGTGACACAACACTAGTCGGGGTAATCTATCTCTCGTGGTCTAGAGACAGATTGCCTACATGAAGCACTTATTCACGGGGTTTGTGACCGCTTACGGTCATTACGAAATAAAAGGTAACGGAGTAGCGTATGACATAGTTCAGTAATGTCATTCTGTGTCGCTTGAGGCCTTTCTTTGACTGAAGAAACCTCGACGTTAGAAGATTTGTTTATATGTAAAATGCGATTGTCAGATGCAGCCAGCTCGTCTGCGGCGTTGTTTTGAAACGAGACCAGCACGGCTTGCACCTGCTGAGGAAGTTTCGACAAGGAAAGTTGTTTAAATAAGCCATCGTCGAAAGTTCTTTGGCCAATCGCTTCTCTCATTCTTAGCAACACGTTTGTCGCAGAACCGTGTTGCAGGTCGATATTATTAAGGAATTGATCTAACCTTTGTCGATCGGTTAGGTATCCATGTTTAAGGATAGATCGTCTAAGAGTTTCGTAAGGTTCCAAAACGTCACTAGTAGACATACCTGGTGTTACGCACCTGTTAAATTCGCGCGGTAGCGCCTTTACTATTGCGAGGAATTGTGCACGTGTGTCGCCCACACCGTGCTCGTAAAAGTCGGCTTCTGAGTAGCAGAACCAGGCTTCATTGTTGTCTGGCCAGAAAGGCATTAGTTGGAATGAAAGTAGGGACATAGTCTTTAGCTTAAGTACCTTGGGTGTCTGTTCCATCATGGCAAATATGAAAAACAGGAATAAACCAGAAAAAATATCCGAAAACACGAAAAGATATCACAATATATAAGAATTAGAATAAAGAAATGACACATGAAATACCAAAAAGGAACAGACGCACAGTTTGCAAGTTGGTGTGCCAGATCAAGTCGGCTTACCAATGAAGATGCCACAAGTACTTGGAGTTTGACAATGCTTTAATCAGCAACAACTTCCACCATGAATCGTACCCACCAAGTGAGGTCAAAAGACAGAAGCGAGGAGGTTCGAAAATATGTTTGATAGGCTATCAATATATATTGAGAATCGACTGATCTAAACTGGCCAGCGATTGCGAGGGATGTTGATCTACTGCCTCTAGGTCATGGGCTCGGAGAGTGGTCTCCTAAGAAAAGTGCTTGCTTCGGTTTCGGCTCACAGCCTTCACACAAACCGAATGATGAAGTGTGGCGTACATTTATTTGGTTGCTCCTTGCACTAATTTTTGTGTTTAAATAAATAAATAAATTGATTGTTTTTACAACTAGACGCTACTTCCAAATTAGTTGTTTAGTCATTCAAAGTGGTTAATGTCATTTGCTTGGACGTAGGACGTGTAAACGTAGTCAACGTACCGACAAAAGTTATCCAGTATATTTTAATCCGTCATTTGGCCAGCTGTTTGTCGACTTATTTAGTGTCCAGACAGTCCAGCTAACCACGATGGCCTCAATAGATTAACAGTCCCAAAAGGTTCTTCAGATCACAGATTACTGCATTTTCTAGCAATCCTGTATTTTAGCCCGGGCTTGGTTATATATTATAGGAAGGTAGATTGAATGATACCGTAGACGTAAACTTAGTGCACACCCACTGACACTAAGAACCAATAGTTGAACTTTCCGATCATCTGTAAATGCTTCACTGCAGATTTAAGTGCAAAGCTCAGCTCATTTATGTCTGCTGAATATTGTGTTTTGTCCCAGTAATTTTGCTTATCGTTACTTTTTTTACAGATAAGATTTTTATATATGTATACATAACAAGACTTCCTGGTACACTCCATTATTCGTGTTAACCATTTTCGTACTCTAGGTACTTTTGATCATACCACCATTAATTATCGATAATGAAAGTCTCTGTGTTGGGTTTTTATCTCGGTTGCGTGCCATATAACATTGCATGGGATCTTCAGAAGTCCATCGTCAAACTACTGAAGTCTCTTGATAATCCTTCGGTGCATTGTATCTTACTTCTGGAACACTGTCCAGTTTACACTATTGGTATACGCCACACAGATCCTATGAATGACTATGGCGAGTATGCCATTAAACATCTCAAACGTCTTGGGGCTGAATTTGTTAGGTCAGTTATGTTGTTTTTTGATTGATTATTATCATGTGTCTACCCAAAATCTCAATTGCTGATAAAGAATAACAAAATAATTCTGTACATATATTTATTTGGTAGGCTTTTGGGGGGTTGTGTATAAGTCGAATTAAACAGCTGCTCACTGGTCCCCGGTTCTATAATTTCCTCAGTGTTACCATTTTTAAATTGATCATAGGGTGCGTAGGTACCTCATAATTTTACGAGACTGTTTGCCAGTCCTTGACAATCAAAACTGTATACTACTCACCAAAGGTAGTCCTAAAACAATTATGGATCTTGTTACTTGTGTCGAGAGCTATCTCAACACATTTGAGCCACTGATTTTTGTATCAGTTAAAGAATCTTTGAAATGGACGGTACGTCATCCGGTAACGTCCAAAAGCGTCTCAGACGATGGGCAGATTTTTATGAGGACTTGTTTTATTGATGTGTTTCCATTGCAATGTCGACCATACGATCATGTACTTTCTGGCTGGTGACTGCTGACTCATCTAACAAAGCAGAGGCCTTTGAGGATTTCCAAGTTTCAAAGCGCCATGAGCCACCAGGTATAGAGTCAGCACCCCTAGCTCTATTTGAAGATGGTGGCGAACATCTCGTCAGGTAAATGACTGGGCTGTTTTAAATTTCGGAATCTGAGATCGTTTGGTTTCCTTCCTGATCCTGAGTGTATTGATCACGTTACCATCCACCAACTGTTGGGGTCTCATCATGCTTATTATGGGCTGGTAGTCATGTTTTTGACCTCATAACCCCCGGTCTCGGTATATTTTGCGAATGTTATCCCAGTGTCTTTCACTTTGCGCGTTATTTACCGACGCTGGAACTGAGTGAGAACACGTAATAGAGATTCAGTTTATGGACTTTAGGACCGCTTGCTTACTTCAGACAGGAACATTGTAATTAATCCCGAAATTCCAAAACTTGTGTCCAAACGTCAGAAATGATGATTCAGTAAGTGTAGCTGTTGTCAACTACGGGTTTTGGTAGCTAAATTACATTTTACGAATTTTACTTACTTACGCCTATTACTCCTCGTGAAGGAGCATAGGCCGCTCACCAGCATTCCCCATCCAATCCTGTCCTGGGCAATCCTTTCCAGCTCCTTCCAGTTCCTATTCATCCTTTTCATATTTGCTTCTATTATCCGACGTAATGTGTTGTTAGGCCTTTCTCTTTTCCGCTTCCCTTCAGGATTCCAAGTTAGGGCTTGTCTCGTGATGCAGTTTGATGATTTGTGTAATGTATGTTCTATCCATTTCCATCGTCTTTTCCTAATTTCTTCTTCAGCTGGAAGCTGATTTGTTCTCTCCCACAAAAGGCTGTTGCTGATGGTATCCGGCCAATGGATGTTGAGTATCTTGCGTAGACAACTATTTATAAATGCTTGTACCTTCTAGATATTGGTTGTAGTAGTTCTCCAAGTTTCAGCTCCGTACAGTCGAACTGCCTTGACATTCGTATTGAAGATTGTGACTTTGATATTGGTTGAAAGTTGTTTTGAGTTCCATATGTTCTTCAATTGTAGGAATGTGACCCTTGCTTTGCCAATCCTGGCCTTTACGTCTGCATCTGAGCCTCCTTGTTCATCGATAATGCTTCCTAGGTATGTGAAGGACTCTACATCTTCCAGAGTTTCGCTATCAATAGTGATTGGATTTCTGTTCTCCGCTTTGAATTTGAGGACCTTGGTTTTCCTTTTGTGTATACTGAGGCCTACTGATGCAGAGACTGCTGCTACACTGGCTGTCTTTGTCTGCATCTGTTCGTGTGTATGCAATAGGAGGGCTAGGTCATCTGCGAAGTCCAAATCGTCTAATTGATTTTGAGCTGTCCATTGTATTCCGTGTCTTCCTTCAGATGTCGAGGTCCTCATAATCCAGTCGACCACCAGAAGGAAAAGGGAGGGAGTAGACAGCCTTGGCTGACTTCGGTCTTTACTTGGAATGCATCTGCCAGCTGTCCTCCATGCACGACTTTGCATTGTAGTCCACCGTATCAGTTCCGGATAATATTGACAGTCTTCTCAGGAACTCCGTAGTATCGAAGAAGTTTCCATAATGTCCTCCTATCCACACTGTCAAACACCTTTTCATAATCAATGAAGTTGATGTATAATGACGAGTTCCACTCAACTCATTGTTCGACGATGATCCGTAGTGTTGCAATTTGGTCTGTACACGATCGATCTTTACGGAATCCAGCTTGTTGATCTCGAAGTTGGGCGTCTACTTCATCTTTCATCCGGTTCAGCAACACTCTGTTGAAGACCTTCCCTGGTATTGACAGTAGTGTGATGCCTCTGTAGTTTTCACATTTGCTCAGATCTCCTTTCTTTGGAATCTTGACGAGGTGCCCTTCTTTCCAGTCCATCGGCACTTGTTCCTCCCAAATCTTTTTGAATATAAGGTAAAGCATGTTTGTAGTTACTTCGATGTCTGACTTCAGTGCTTCAGCTGGTATATTGTCGGGTCCTGCTGCTTTCCCGCTCTTGATTTGTCTGATGGTCATTCTGATTTCTTCCGCCGTTGGTGGATTGACATCTATAGGAAGATCTGTGTGTGCTGCTTCGATGTGCACTGGATTCATTGGAGCCGGCCTATTCAGGAGTTCCTCGAAGTACTCTATCCATTTGTTCCGCTGTTGTTGAATTCCAGTGAATGTCATACTTTCTTTGTCTTTGACCGGCCTCTCTGGTTTACTATATCTCCTTGCTAGTTCCTTCGTTGTATCGTAAAGCTGTTTCATATTTCCTTCTCTAGCAGCTTTTTCCGCCATTGTTGCTAGTTCTTCTACGTATTTCTTCTTGTCGGCTCTAATGCTTTTCTTCACTTGCTTGTTTGCTTCTATGTACTCAGCTTGAGCTCGGAATTTCTTTGCTCGTGTCCGGCTGTTGTTAATTGCTATCTTTTTGTTCTTCTTCCTTCTTTGATCTTGTACAGTGTTTCTATAGAGATCCATTGTTGAGGCCCAGAACCTCTTGACACGTCGAAGTTAATGTTTCTTTGATACCTTTCCAGTTGTCCTCCATAGTAGTTTCTTCTTCCTTCAGTAGATGCTGTAAGGCTTGGAACCTGTTGTTGAGAGCTATCTTGAATTCATTGAGTTTGCCAGTATCTCGAAGGAAGGCTGTATTGAACCTTTGTAGTGCTGTTTGTCCACTTGTCCAGTTCTTTTTTAGCTTCAGTTTTAAATTGGCTACAACTAGGTGGTGATCTGAAGCTACGTCAGCTCCTCTCCTGGTTCTCACATCTTCCATTGTCCTTCGGAATTTTTTGTTGATGCAAATATGATCTATTTGGTTCTCTGTAGTGTGGTCGGGTGAGATCCATGTAGCCTTGTGTATACGCTTGTGTGGAAATATTGTGCCTCCTATGACCAATTTGTTGAATGCACATAGATTTGCAAATCTTTCTCCATTTTCGTTTCTCTGTCCCAGTCCATGTCGTCCCATTGGTGGGTGCATAACATTGGATAATATTCATTGTGATCCCCTCCTTCTTTATTTTGAATGATGCTTTGATGATTCTGGATCCGTGAGATTCCCATCCTACAAGTGCATTTCGTGCTACTTTGGATGGCATTAGAGCGACTCCCTGAGTGTGGAGCATTTTCCTCTTCGTGACCGGAGTATAGCAGCATCTCTTCCGTAGCTAGCCTTTTCTGTCCAGCTTGGATCCAATGGGTTTCGCTGATTCCCAGTACTGCCAAATTGTATCTCCTCATTTCCGTTGCTATTTGACTGGTCTTCCCGGTCTCCCACATTGTTCGGACGTTCCATGTACCTACAAAAATTTTTGCTCTGGTTGTTAGAAGGGGCATCGGCCTCGTGGCTTCCGAAGGAACTCGGCTTTCACCATGAAGCGTCATAATTCTTCTAAATGAAGACCTAACTCCCAGTGCAGAGTTAAAATGGTTTGAATAATTTTTTCTGGTAAGCGTTTTTTTAGCGAGTTAGTTTTCTACGGGATGGGGACGCTAACCCCATGCCCAACTTTCCTCATTTACCCGGGCTTGGGACCGGCAGTAACTCTAGAAGAGCTACAGTAGGAGTTATTTTACGAATTTAATCCATATTATATTATATATATTATATATATATATATATTATATATATATATATATATATATATATATATATATATATATATATATATATATATATATATATATTATATTATATATTATATTATATAACATCTCCAAACCCTAATCTTCCTGATTACTGCTTATACTCTTATTACCTCAACCACTACGGGATTTGAATCGACAAGTGCATCTCTGTGCTAATGTGGTGTGGCAACTCGAACTGATGTACGTACGTACGAAGTTCTACGTTGTTACTGACTGACTGACTGATATTACTTTGTCATTTTTCGGGGATGGATTCAGAAAGCTCAATTGTTCTTTGTCAAATTACATCATTTTTGGCGCAAGTGAAATGTTTGTCTACCAACCAAAGGGTGTGTATATTGCACACTATTTACTTTATTACTTTATGGGTGTGAAATTATGATCTTTTAATGTAAAATGCACACGCGGTTTGCAGGTTTCTGACCATAACTGTCTTTGGAGCGTTTTCCGCGTATTTCCAAATGGCCAAGTAAGCAATGTTAATGTTAGGCATAGGGTACTGGGTAGTGATGGAAAGTCGGTTTATGTAGTGAGTCAGTCACAACGTAGGACCAGGCACGTATATGCATTGGTCCAAGTTACCACACAGCACAGAAAGATGAACACCACACTTCAATGGCGGTAAAAAAAGGTTTCATATCAAAATATAATACAGAAAGAAAGAATTAGTTCTTAGAAAGAAAGTTATAAAGCAACTTTAGTCTCACAGTTTAAGGGAAGACAGAGTGTATGCACCTACGCCATTGTGATTGGTTCTGAGCCATGTCATCCAGAGTTTCCAGCCATTGGTTACGACGGTCACGCGGACCCCAACCAAGTATTCTGCATCTACCAACATGGTTCAGACTAGAAGTTAGTGACTTCAAGGACTGATGCCACATTTTAGTTTGGCCGTCCCTAACTTTGTTTCAACCATCCCCAATACTAGTCCGCATTGCGCGTCATGGTAATCGGTGTTCAGACATACGTAACACGTGACCCAACTTTCTCAGTTGATGACGATTCACAACTACCATCATTCTCTAATACCCTGTGTCTACCCTCACTATTACTTACCCGGTGATCCCAGCAGATGCAAGCAATATTTCTAAGACATCTGTTATCAAATAATAGTAGCTTACGAGTATCCTCTGCTCTTAATGACCACGTTTCACAGCCGTAAATCAAAACCAACAGAACGAACTGCTGCACAGTATACTCGTCCCTTAATTGTTAGACGGATATCTCGCCTTCGCCATAGGTGACGTAAGTTGGCAAAAGCCAAACGAGCTTTTTGAATCCGTGCAGTGATTTAGTCCGGCACCAATCCATTAGGGCTGATCAGAATTCTAAGATGTGGTTGTGAATCTTCGTTAACTGAGGTGTTTGGGACGCGCGTTACATTTGGTTAATCTCTATTTATCTCGATGGGTGGTGTTTACTGGCGCAGTAGTAAGTTGTAAGAAAGCTTTCGGAAGCCGAACCAAGACACAGGACCAGTCCATGATTTCCGGCTCTCGGTCTGATACCTGCTGGTTGTTTTTGACGATCTTATTGGGATCTGCATGATAACCGAGATTACTGGTTGGAGACGATAAGTGATATGACTCATCGTTCACAATGGAGGGCATCGATTCACCCTGTCTTCCTCTTGATCTTGAAATGGAGTACCCCTTCGTCCATATCTTACCAATCTGTCTTTTTAAACCATATTCTCAATTTTAAGTCCAAATTATATCGATTCCTCTTGATATTTGTCTTTTTATTTATATTTCGGCGTGGCAGGTTGGCCTAACACTGAAACATACGTAAACGGAAGGCTGTTCATGTAATAAAATATCACCCAAAGTTTGTTTCAATCCTATGAAAGTACTAGACTATAATTGTTTACAAAACCGAATTAAATAAAATGTTTATTTATTGTGTCGAATCAACTTCTAAATAGTCCTAGAGGTGACTGAGACAATGTAAGTATATACCTCAGAAAAGACATATAAAAAGCTGTAGGATTGTATCACTCAGTTTTATAGTCATTTGATATTTTGAGATTCTGTGTACTGATCTTTCTTGTTTTATCAACTAACCCATTGTAACTGACACTATCTTCTTGACCTAATATCCATCCCAAATGTTGCGTACCGCAAATCTAATGTGTTTTCCAGTTCTGATCGTGGAGGTTTGATTACGTATCATGGCCCAGGACAACTCGTAGCCTATCCGATAATTAATCTTCGGTGTAAATCTTTACAAGGTCGTGGTTTAAGGTGGTACGTTGGGGCTTTAGAAGAAGCCGGAATCAAACTGTGTTCACAATTTGGTGTGACTACATTTGCTGGTAAGGATTCGGAGACTGGTGTTTGGTCTGATTCTAGGCACAAAGTTATGGCTATTGGTAAGCTTTTTTTCTTATCATGCAATCACATTATAGTTTTGGTAATTAATCATAGAAGGCTTCGTACTTTCAGTATTTAATTATTTGATTGCTTTGGGTTGCACGTTTCCTTATATGTGTATATGGAGATTACACTAATAAGTAGACGGAGATTATTGTAATTATGTGATATATTAACGTACTATGGTAGAAAATTAATGATACCTGTCTATTCTTTGGTGCCATTAGTGTTTTGAGGCTGCATATGTAATACCTGTTCAGATTAAAGCTGTAACCTACTTGTATGTGCCCAAGTCCATGTACTCTTATGTTTTGACTCCGACGATATTCGATGCGCAATGTAATCTAGATGTAAGCATGCAGAATAATCCTCTAACTCTGCCTCTCAAACATAGAAAACAAGGAAATACATTTTTGAAATATAACGTTTATCGTCAAAAATTGTTGTACAGATACCCAACAATTAAGTGATTGGCATTGTTTATTAAATATTTAAGGCTTAGTGGACCAACCAAAGTGTTTTCCGAACACTTTTAGTGCTGTCGCATTTCCTGATATGTATGGTTGATTCCTGACCTTTAACTGTCATTCTGCACAACAACTTTATCGTTTATTTCGAGTAAGAGTTAGATTTTTCAGTATTATTTAACATTTACCAAGCTGATTGATTCTGTTGAACCTGTTTGAGGTTGTTTGTATGAATAAGTTTCATTGTCTTTGTTTATCTTTACATATCTTTTGAGTGTCTTTTTCGGTTGTCATCCGATCATGTAATTGGTTTTGTTTGTACAGTATGATAAATTAGATCTGTCAGTATATTTCGTGTTTGCATATCGACATAAACATTGTGCTTCCTAGAAATTCTCTGGCTGTTTCATCGATCCAGGATTTCTAAAATTTACCTGTTACATCTGTAAACAGATTTGACTATCCGCTTTTACAGCATTCCACAGCATAGGTTTTAATCCCAGACGTTAATTGATGTCTTGTAGAATAAACACATTTACATAATCAGAGTTAAGCTCCAAACATGAGCAGCGACAATTTGTTGTTGTTTGAGAAATATAGCTTGATTCTGATGATGTTGTCCGCAGTAAATGATCCTGTTAATAAGTATCGTTAAATTTATCTTTTCTAACTGAAAGCATCATACGTTTCTTGGGTTTTAGGTAAGCTTACACCCTATAAAACTAATCTCACTTTCCTCTGACCACTTCCACCCACATGTTCTTTGAAACAATTAAAGGTCGATAGGTATCCCTTTCATCTTACCACCAACTGTGTATACAAATTTACATGTATCTGCCAAAGCAGTTTCATTGGTAGAACAGAAAGGAGAGCCTGCATCCAATTCAAAGGACATATTCCGAAAAGTTTAAGATCAAATGGATTGAAAGCATTCAGCAGTGCCGTTGCAAGACATCTTGACACAGGACATGAAGTCGATACACTGAACTCCTTCAAGGTGATTAACAAACAATCAAACTCGAACCTTTTGAAACTCGCCGATGCGATAGCAATCAAACGTCTAAAACCAGATCTATGTACCCAAAAAGAGGCAGTAATATATCTTTATTGGCCCTGGTAACATCACACCCCTTTTTAATTATTACGTCATTCATTACATCATTCAAGTTTAATTACATCATTGTCGTTTTTCTTCAATTCATAATTGACTGATTTCAATTTATATCTTTTTTTATTACCATTAATCTATTTTCAGTTGCTTAATTACACAATCATATAATGTTTGTTAACTCCATGAGTTCTAATAACTGTTTCAATGTTTTGGAACTTTCCCTCTCAAACTTTACTTATCCAAAACAAATTTTTTATGACCTTATTCACTCTTGAGATCTTCGCTACATCATGATATATATATGTATATTCATTTTTAATCTCTCTCTTATGTATAAGTATGTAAATATCTGTAATAACGTTGATTTTCAAATATTATAGGTTGCAAGTAGCCGATGAGAAACTAAAGAAATAAAATGAATTCATGTTATTCTGCACCAATCTTCGTTGTTGATCTCTTTAAGATTATAAATTGTTTAATTTTCATAGCGAATCAAAGTAAGATTTGTTTTTGATTGCTAAGTTTCAAAAAGTTTAATTTGTAAAAAGTGAGTTTACTATGTAAAACTTTTGGAATAGTCAAGTTGCTTGTCCCAAATTATATTAAAGTGATTCGAGTTTGTGGTATAGATATACACGTTTTTATGCTTCACTTTATTTATTTATGTGTGCAAATGGTTGTACATCAGTTTCCCATTAGTCGACCCATTAAGTGGATATTGTGTTTTGTGGGTTGAGCTTTTTGTACATTATTAGAATGTCGCAAGTTATTTGTTATTTTCTCAGTTAATAATTTATTTTTAGTTAGGTATCCGCCAGAGCAGTTCAATAACGTATCATGGGATAGCTCTAAACTGTACAACTGAACCACTTTCATGGCTAAGACAAATCGTTCCTTGTGGTTTAGCTGATCGAGATGTTACGTGTTTGAGTGAAGTTTGTGGTAAACAATGCACACCAAAGGAAGTGGCACCTACAATGTCAGATTGTCTGGTTTCAAGTCTGTTTGAATTACATATGAATGACCAGTTTTGTGTTAATTACCAATTTCGCAATGATATGGCGGGCGATTGGTGTAATTTAATACGAAATGTTAACGGTGGTTATGAAGGTTGTTCAGAATCGTTTTCAGTCAGTAAATCTTGGTCTTGTACAGTTAAGGATATCCTCTTCTCGTTACATTCTCATTTTAATAACTGTACTGCCAGCAATGCACTATTCAATAATAAGTAATATTGTGTACGCTTTTCTTGATTTGTATTTTTTCCAATCTTCAAATGACGAAATAAACCCATTGGATAAATAAAGTCAATTCAAGAGAGGTTTTTACCTGTTACCTACCGAATCGATAATTCAAATAGGAATTATTTAATTGTAATCATCATAAGATATCTTTTTGCTCACATTAGCCGTTGAATGTCACAGTATTACTTAAAATTTGAGTTTAGAGTTGAATTTTATAGATACCCGAATGATGGCTTCGAGTTCGCCTGAACGCTTGGAATTAAGGAATATAATTATGACTATCTTGAACAGTGTCATGTGCAACCGTTAATTGGTCATGAACAGTTCGATTCTAATTAAAGGTCAACAGTTTGGCATAATTGGATGCAAGTTCATTTTATCGTAGCTTTGGATTGCTAAAAGTTTTTGGTTACGTACTCCATACAAAGTGAGACTAAATGCTCATTTAATGCCAAAATAATCTTATTCCGTCACTTATTATAAGCATACGGTTTCTATTTAAGAGTATACAAGATATGTTGAATTGCTGTGAAATCTCTAGAACTGTCCTAATAACAGTATCAAAATCAAAAGAACTATTTAGTCACCAGATTTATGCTATTATTATATGGTTAACATATTCTTTCTTTGTAACGAAGGCTTGTCGAATACTATCATATTATGATAGCACTCACGTAGTAATTGCTTTTGGAATGAAATCGACTTATCGAACATCATCATAGTTAAAAACATTTATAGAGTAATGTATTGGCTCGTTTTCAGTTCACATATTATTGACTATCTATGATTAAATAAGAACTCATGTCTAATCAAGCAAATATTATCAATGTGGAGCATGGGATAAGTCTAGATCAAGTTGACCATATCAACACAGCAAAACCATTGGAAAAGTGGTAGTACGAATGATAGTAAGAAAGACTAAGCATAAAAAATATAATTCGAAATAAGGAATAATAGGACTAATGATTTAAGGTGGGAGATAAAAGTTGGATCCAGTTGTTTCGCAATGACCCACAGTTGGGACTCAGTAAAGCATTTCCTCACATGAACAGTGTACAATTTTAGCTATCATTTTTATATGAACGTTTAACGAAAACAAGTCTTATCACCACCTAACCACTCTGTAATGTTCATCTTTTAACAGTTCGAATTTTCTGTTGATTTTGATGTGTGCTGCAAATATCGGTTGGTGTAGATCCAAGTTTTGAAACAATTGATATACAGATTTAAACCGCTATCATTCTATGTTTCTAGTATTTTATCAGCCTCAAAAAAATAGATATATGTGTTATTCTCCATCAAACATAGATTAATTATGACCTTTAACGAAACCGCAACTTTTGCAATTTGACTAATTAATTGGTTTCTTATCAACAGACTGTCATAAGGCGTTAATTGAAGTCCCAAACATCAGTATTCATGATTACTGGGTTGCACACGATGCAAGCTTTAGTTACGATTGTATCTAGCGTTATTTGGTTGTTTACTAGTTGGTATAGATTATTCAATGGTTGCACTCCTCAAAAGTGTAACAGATGGATTGTGGTTGTAGTTCTGTTGCCGAATAAGGCAGATCTGAACTTGTTATAGGATTATAGTCAATTGATAAAACGTGTTTTGCAACTCTCATAAGCTTGTTTGTTCATTTACTGGCAAGATTTAATTTTCTTACTTCATAAATAACTCATTATATGTATTTAGTCTTAATACTCATCTAAGTACATTCGCCCTTATAATTTGTTCATATTAAAATATGAAATGTACTGTTCTCGAATACAATTGATGTGAAATTCCAGTTGGAATGAGTGGCGTTATCAAGCTGATACTACTTGCAGCTAGAAAGTAGTATAACTTTGTACGCGGTAATTCCTTATAATTGTTTGCTCTATGGAAGCATATCAAATCTTATGTCTGTAAATTGTTGTATGGCGAACTAATATCTTGTTCACGCAGTAGTTCATTCTTTTTGTCTAGGCGGATATGTCCATTATACTCATTTTATGATAAAAAGTCATGGTTAGTTGGGATTTGACAGCTATCGAGCTGCAATAACAAGGTCAGGTGTTATCAGCGAATAATTTACTGGTTATTTGCATGTAGTTTTTTTATGGAACAAAACAGATTTCTCCCAAAGGCATCAAAAGAAATATGACAGAGACTAGAGTGAAAATTATGTGAATAAATAGAAAAAGGGGAAAAATACTAGAATTAGAGGAATAGGACTAGTATGTAACAAAGATCGATGTTCAGATAAGGAAATAACATGGGTGTATTTCATTCATTTGGACAAGAATTATTACTGAATATGAATATCAAAAGAAAAATACTCGGGGGACCACCGTTCATTCGTATTTTGGACATCAGCTTGTATTGATCAGATTTAAAACTAGTTTAACAAAGCTTACTGAGTTGTACAGCCAACTGTTTTGCCATAAGAAATATTACAACGAACATGGTCCAGATTAGTGTAAGGTTTTATGACTTTTAACATAGGTAAGCTGATTTTACCTATCAAATTATTACCACCGGCACTTATTCAACTACTCAGTTACACAGACTTCTCGGTTACTTCCGAGTACAAATGTGGGCTCTTGCCGTTCCTGTGGTCGTTTTGATCATGGTGTAAAGATCACTACAGACTGTGAAGTTATGGGTTTGTTGTCCCTCAAACTGCAATAATACAAAATATTTTCGATTTTTCTTCGTTTAGAGTGACTTCGTCAATTATTATTGACTTATCAATTTAATCACTTTGTCCATGTAACGCGAAATATTTCGCACATTAATATTAGCGTAGCGGTTTTGGAATCTGTCCAAAAAAATAAACTCATGAATAGCACTCACAAATGCTATTCTATATGTAAATAAAGTATTTCAAGATATGCATACAGTAATTTGTACACACTGTTTCGTCCAGTATAACATATATTTGGTAATTATTGGTTTACTTCTGTCTAATAATCTAATTGATTGACACGAAAATCTGGACTTACTACGCTTAAGCTATAGTTTGTTATAAGGATTAAGTTATAATTGAATATTTTATTTTATTGATACTTTGCACAAGCTTTTGATTCCCTGCACACCAGCCAAGAAAGATTTTAAGCATAATGCAACTTTGGTGATAGCCATTTTGAGGATCACAATCAATGTGTTTCAAAAAACATTCGAAAATATGCATAAAATAGTTTTTTTTATACTGTTTGGATAGATTAACTGCGTAGTTACGTGGTTAAACTTATTTATTGTTAAATTTTGAAATACGATATGGTTTTCTCAGAATATCAAATGGTAGTGTTCCTGTTAAAAATGCAAATAAAATTTAATACATCGGTGTTATGAAATGCTTTTCCATGCATTACTTTGTTAAACTGTCAACTGGATAATGTTTGCCAGTAAGTTTGTTTCTTGTGCCTTGCTACAAGTCTGTTCACTGAACTTCATCAGTATTCTAGAATTATCTTTATAGTCAAATAGTAACCTAAATGAAGATGGTGTTCAGGTATTTCAAATCAGAATGATTTTTGTGTTGCGTCGATTAAAAAAAACCATTAATAATTTTCTCCTATATTATTATCTGAACCCTTTTTCTAATCTACTTAACTGAATGATGATTGCTATTCCCTTGTGCCCTACGTTTGTCTAATTTACGCTTATTAGGTGATAAGCTAAATTTCGCTTTTCATTTATAATAAATTTTAATTCCATTGGATTATTTACGACTCCATAATTATTGCATCTCTGATTCCAGAACTAGTTGTTAATCCCGTTTTCAAATAGTTTGTTAGTGAACTAATACTGAAATATGTGCTTATGTGTGTTTTAATTATGAATAATACAATGTAACTCTAGTAAGTGATATTGTCAAAAAGAGCAAAATATTAACTTCCCTGAATGGCTTTTTTTCTATATAAAGAACGTTCTTGATAACTAATTATTTCGAATAAGCATCGTTAATGGATTTAACTTTATAGGAATCTAACTACTAACTGATGGTATTATGATTTGAGTTTTATTATAAAAACATTAGGTTACAACGTGAAGATGTCAGTTTAATGTATTTAACTTGTTGAAATATTGAATTATCTCCTATTTCAACATACTACATGAATTTCCAACATTACATTCTATTTACAAAAATATACTTTAATAAATAGCTCTAATATAAAGAGTGAAATAACTATATAATGTATATTATTTTGAATTTTATTTGTTGAAACTCTCATCTATTTATTATGACAACTATTTTCAAACTGCTACTATTATTCATTTAGTAGTAGTAACCATAGTATTAAGATGATTAATAATAATGATGATTGATTTTATTTGTTAGTCATTTATTACAAAATAAAATTGATAATCGGACATAAAACTATATGTATACAAATGTGATTAATAAGAATGTTTTAATGATAAGATAATACAATGAGCCCTTAATGATATATGGTGTACAGAAACCTATATATGTGTATACATATACTTCTTATACAAACATAACTGATATTTAGTACAAACACTAATTATTGTATTATAAAGCTGTTTGTATAGTTGAAATAGACATGATGAAATTCTGTGTAAGTGATTGATTTTAAATATTTCAGTCTATTATCAAATGTTTTAATACATTACATTATGTAGGAATTATAACGATTGAAAATAACAGTTGTTCTTTTTTGTTTGTTTGTTATCATTATCATATTTAGCTTGTTTTACGATTTTCTGTAAGTTAGTTTATCTGTTAGTTTATGAAAACTGAAATTTATTTTCAGAAAAGGGGTTTTGTGGTGATTGTAGTCATTTAATGGTTGAATTCATGAGTCGATTAAAGCTAGACTACCATGGAAAACCTGAAAGCTAGACCAATTTCATGAATTGGTCAATGTTAGACATTAACACCGTTGGATGTTGGCCCAGTGGTCTAGAGGTTAGGCGTTCAGGTTTGAATTTCTTGGGCGGGATCGTGGATGCGCACTTCTGAAGAGTCCCATACCAGGGTGAAACGGTCATCCAGTGCTTCCAGGTTTTCTATGATGGTCTAGCTTTATTCGACTCATGAATTTAACTATAAAATTTATCTGTTTCACTTTTACGGTATCAAATTGGATTTGATCATGTGAAAATAAAAGAACTTGGTAATTATTTTCTTGATTTTTAAATTGTAATCTATTGAGGATTGTGTTTTTAAATGGACTAATGTAAAACGTTTGTTAAATGTTGATGATGACTTTTTATGACAGATATATCAATTCATTTAAATTTAAGAAAATGCACACAAATTAATTGATTTTCTTCGTTGACTGAAGGAGCGACCGAAGCTGCTACCTTGACGCGGTCATCGGGCTTGCCTATCGTGATGATCCAACCGAGCTATATTGGCTCGAACATATGTTCCTGCAGGTTCTACCATGTCAGGCAGGTCGATTGGAGAACAGTAAGACTAAAAGCAGCAACTCAAGGTCTGAGGGCGAAGTCGTACTGCTGACTGTAGAGGGGTGTGACAGTAGTAATGTGTTTCCCTCGGACAACCAGCATCTGCAGCAATGCTGCCTCACGGATTTCCGTCTCCGGCGGTAAGGCCCCTTGAAGAACGGAGCTAACACGTCAGAAACCTCCCACAAAAAGGCCGTGCGCGACCAGCCTCAAGCAGTTGTCCCTTGGGCTTTGCGGTCATGCTACCAGGTCATTAAGACCGGCACTAATCCAATTTCCTTTTCAGGTTCCTCAAGAAGTACCCTTCCACGATGTGGGCAGCCGGGAAGTGATATCAGCCCTCATACCCGTAACAGCACACGAGACCAAGTTGGTCACATTCAA